CTCTTTCCACAACAAACTTGCAGCCCACACCCACTTCTCCTGGTCCACTTTTTCTGAACCTGAGCTTTGATACCAATCTGTTGGGAAAAAACAATAAGCACCAATGGCGCAGCGGAATAAATTTCCCCACACTTATGTGAACCTGTGAAAAAAATATAGAATACGGCAGCAGCAAATCAAAACAGTAAAGTAAATGAGATAACAAATTATTTGACGTGGAAAACCTCCTCAATGTGAGGAGTAAAAACCACGGGACCCTAGTCCACTCAAAAATCCACTATATCAAATTTGAGTTACAACCACGTCCTCCCTGTTCCCACAGAACAGATCCAGAGACGAAGGCTCCAAAGAGCAATCTCTAACACAAGAAACACCACAAGAGAGCAATACAAGAGCCTAGAAACAAGCAGTCCCAAACGACCCTAAATTCACAAGGATTCCGGTCACCAAATCAGATCTCCACCGTACAAATCCTAGATAAACAAGTCAGGAATATCTCTGTCAAATTTCAGCCCAATCCAAGAAGAATTCACTGTCAGATTTCCCAAAGACTCAAGACAACACAGTCTGAAATCTGAACTCGCAAAAACAGCGAACAACCTCGCTAAAACCCAGATCTGCGACGAACCAACCGTTGAAATACAATCTCCACCATTGAATATCAAGACCACTGAGTCACGAAACTAACCCAAAAATTTCAGCCAAATCGGAACACGTTTAAGCCTCCAAACATTCTCTTGAACAAACCTTGACGAAACTGTTTTTCTCCTTCTTAGCCTACGAAAATTGCCTCTCTTCAATTAGTTTCTCCTTTCACCAAAATTAGGTTTGGAGTCATATATATACTCCCTCATAATCTTTAGTCTAATAACAATCTCATGGATCATAATAGGTCCAAGTTTGGTTTTTCTTAAATCAAATCCAAATTGGTTTTCCCACTAGGAGGAAAAACCAACAAACTCCCCCTCCGACTAGGTGGAAGAAATAGCCATTACGGCTATCTCTCGACAGACTCCAAGCTTCCCCCTCGGCAATGAC